ATTCAACTTGATTCAAACTCGATTCAGCTTATCTGACTCGTGAGTTAACTTAACTAAAGCTCTAAATGGTTCAGATTAATCTGAAAATTTTCAGTTCAGATCAATTTTGGTTCAGTTTTGGATTGCAAAAATTTCAATATGAAAATTTTCAGTTCGATTCAGATTTTTTTCAGATTATAAATCTAATCCGAACTGAAAAAAATCTGAACAGAACCGAAAATTTTGGATTAATCTAAAATTTCAGATCATTTGGAATGATAAAATTATCATTCCAAATGAACGATAAAAGGATTGTTCGATTAGAACGATGAAATTATCATTCTAAACGAACGATAAAAGAATTGTTCATTTGGAATGATTAAATTATCATTCTAAAAGAATGATAAAAGAATTGTTCATTTGGAATGATTGAAGTTATCGTTCCAAATGAACGATAAAAAAATCATTCGATTGGAACGATTAAATTATCGCTTCAATCGAATGATAAGAAAATTGTTCATTTAGAATAATTAAAGTTATCGTTCTAAACGAACAATAAAAAAATCATTCATTTGGAATGATTGAAGTTATCGTTCTAAACGAATGATAAAAAAATCATTCATTTGTAACGATTGAAGTTATCGTTCCAAATGAACGATAAGAAAATTTTTTGTTTAAAATGATTGAAGTTATCGTTCCAAACGAACAATAAAAAATCATTTGATTAGAATGATTAAATTATCGTTCCAATCGAATGATAAAAAATTGTTCATTTGGAATGATTAAAGTTATTGTTCCAAATAAATGATAAAAAAATCGTTCGATTGGAATGATTAAATTATCGTTCTAATCAAACGATAAAAAAAATCATTCATTTGGAACGATTAAAGTTATCGTTCCAAATGAACAATAAAAAAATTATTTAATTGGAACGATTAAATTATCATTCTTTTGAAATGATAACTTCAATCGTTCCAAACGAATAATAAAAGGATCATTCTAAACAATCCAAAATTTCAGATTAATCCAAAATTTTCAGTTCAATTCAGATTTTTACCGGTTTACGGTTCAGTTCAGTTTCAGATTGGCATTTTTAGGATTTATAATCTGAACCAAACTGAACCAAAATTTTCAGATCAGTTTCAGATTGGCCTATAATCTGGACTGAACTGAACTGTTTGGAGCATTAAACTTGACTCATCCAGAACTCTAATCTGATTCAACTAAACTTTTCAGATTGATCTGTTAGATTATCTGATCTGTTGGATTAAATTTAAGTTCTACAAATATTATTATGTTTTAACAATTAGTAATTAGATTTTTAAGCTTTATAATTCATTAGAATTATTATATAAAATGCTTTTAATCTATAAATTTTATATATTTTGAATTTATAAATAGAAAGATATTTATATTTAACTGTTTAGAAACTTCTTTTTATCTAGTAATATAAAAATATAAAATAATATGATTAGATGCATCTTAATATAATAATTCTAATAAATCAAAGATCATAAAATTCAATCACTGATTACTAAAAATATAGTTTAGAAAATACATTTAAAACTACTCATACACTTTTGACAGATTAGTGTAATATATAAAATTTAAGATTTAATTTTATCTGAATTATATTTATACATTAACTATTAAATTTCTTAGTTGATTAAGAATATGTTGCATTAAGCTGATATTCTAATTAATCAAAAATGCTTATTGGCTTCATTACTTTCTTATATCTTTATTATGAATAATTACAGACCTTTGTCAAAGTCTCTGAACGCTATTTTTCAGGTTTTTTCATACTAAATATATCATGTGATTGTATAAAATTGTGGCTATATAATATTCTGGCTATTGTTTATATAAATCAAATTAAATAAATATAAGTTGATTTATTTATTTTAATTTTAAATCAAAATAAAATTACATCTTTTTAAAATAACAAAAATATTTAATAAATTAACAATAGAATAACTCAGTGGCATAATTTTTTGTCATCAACACAGTGATAGTTATTGAACTATTGCCATGATTATTTATTGAGAATCTATAGGTTAAAGTCAAGAAGAGCATCTGTAAAAGAAAAAAATTGCCTTCTAATCTTGCTCAACTTGATCAATATATTATAAAGGCATAGAAATAAATTCTGATACAAAATATCGAAAATTTGGTTAATAGTATACCGCTGTGAATTCAGACTATGATTGAAGCAAATGGAGGCCTGACTAAGTACTAATTATTTAGTACTAAATGTGTAGCATATCGTATTTTAATAAATATTTTAATAAATATTTTTTAATAAAATTTAAAAATTTCAAGTTTATATTGAGCCAAAAAATGTCTGAAGACTTTTAGCGAAAGTTTGTAATACTTAAAGAATATGACTGATTAGAACAAAAGGATAGCTAATCAACGCCTTTTTTATTAATCAAAATATATATATATAAATTTAAGCTTAACTTTTTAATGGTAGACAAGGTGCAATTGACCACTAATTGGCAAAGGTATACTTTTGAAATTATGAATTTTTGATGATCATTTTTGCATTTATTCACTTTTTTGCTTAATTTGTTCTTTAGTTGCACAGATCTTTAGCAATCTCTATATATTTTGATTGATTTTGGTAATGCACCTTGTGAACATCAAATTTGAAGTTTATATAGCTACAGCTACAGCTACAGCTATGGCTACAGCTACTGCTAAGCTGCAGCTGCAGCTATAGTATGCTACTATGTTATCATTAGAATAAATTTGAGATTAAGCTTTCCTGTGGCACTTTTGTATTGTGTTAAATTTAACCATCATATTTTAAATAAAATATATTTTTATTGATTTTGCTAATCTTTGTCGATTCATTTTATTTCGTTAAAAAATATCTTTAGCATTAAAATTATTATTTGCATATTCAGTTTATCAATTTTTGTTTTTTTTGTGTTATGTATATTTGTAAATACTGTAATCGATCTGATCTTTTTTTTAAAAAAAAATTTTTCTTATTTTTTTTTTTTTTTAAAAAAAAACACCAATTATCAAAATAAAATCAAATATAATATGCCCGTATAATTATCAACAATAGATTACAGAAAAAATTTTAAGTAGTATTTTTTGCAAAAATTATTCTCTTAATTTTTTTTATTCAGGTGAAATATAGAAACTTTAGTCCAATAAAACATATAAAGATACCTTAAGTAAAGTTGTTCAGCAAGTTCGAAATTGCCTGAATCTCAATTTTTGTCAAGGTGGGTTTGATATTCGTGTAGTTCGTAATGCTAATGATACATGAATTCACTTTTTATGCTATTTAATGACTTTTAATCATTTTATTTAAATTTAAATAGAATAAAACGTATATAAAATGCTTATTAAAAAAACTAAATAAAAAATTAAATTAAAAATAAATTTAAATTTTAAAATATAAAAAATAAATAAATTATAAAAATTAATAAATATAATGTAATTAATAAAAAAAAAAAAACATTTGGAGAGTATTAAATAAGATTAATAAACAATTTAAAAAAAATTATTTTAAAAAAAAAATTTAAATTTAAATAATATTTTTTATTTAATATCCACGAATTTTTATATATATATATTTTTTTTAATTTGCTATTTAAAAATCTACTAATAAAATTGCATGTATTAAAAAAATTTGAAAAAAAAATTTAATCTATAATCGAATGAAAAATTAAACTTCTTTTTTATCAATATAATTAAATGTATTCAAAAATTTGATTTTATATTTTTATTCTTCATAAATGAAATTTAAGTTTAATTGAAATGGTTATTGCAATCAATTATTTAATGCTAAATGGGGGACGAAGTCCCCCACAAACCGCAAACTCTAATTATTAAAATTAAAAAGACAAATCAATTATCAATCCGAAACAATGTTAAAAAAAAACAAATTCGCAACTTACCTTTGCCCGAACAATCCAATCGAAATTCGAATCTAAACCTAAAATCGTCTAGAGAAAAAAAGAAAGAAAAAAAAATAAAAAATAAATTTATTAATGAAACAATGCAAAAAAAAAAATAAAGAAAAAAAATAGAAAAAAAAGGAAGATAAAAAAAACCAACAGCTTAGACCGATCGCACCGAATCGATCGCACGAAAGCTAGAGGGAAAAAAAATATTAAGAAAACAAATAAAACAATGTAAAAAATAAAAAAAACAAAACCATAAAAAAATAAAAAAAAAACCAACTGCCTTATCTTTGCCGCGAAGAACTGAACGCACCGAACCGATCGAACGAAAGCTAGAGAAATATTAATAAAGCAATAAAACAATGAAAAAAAACAAAAATAAAAAAAAATTAAAATTAAAGCGTTATTAATCTGACACAATGCAAATAAAAAGAAGATAGAAAAAAAAAAACTCAACAAAACTCACCTTTGCCGTGACGGACCGATCGGTCCGTCACGGCGGTGAGTGAGTGACGGTTCTTTTTTTTTTTGCATTGTTTGGGATTACTAATTACTAATTCCTTTTTTTTATTATTTTTATTACTTTTTATTATTTTTTTCCTTTTCTATAGGCGAATTTTTTTCTAGGACATTAGACTAAAAAAAGTATCAGAAACTAAATTACCTATTTAAATCTAAAAAGCAATAAAATTATTTTTATTAAAATAACAAAAAAACAGGTGGGTGACGAAGTCACCCGCAGTGAAAAACAAATCCTAGTTGATTCATAAAATTTTTATATTCATTTTTTCATAATAATAAGCCCTGGTCGGCCATAACTATGAATCTAGTTAGTATTTATAAAATTAAACCTTAATATACAATAATATATGCTATAAATATAATCCCATTAACCGTCTAAGACCGACCGAACCATCACTACATTTCTCTCATCTGCTGAAATACTACTGAATAATGAAAGCTCCCCAACTTCCCTATGAAAATCTAAAAAAGATATTGAAAATATCGATATATAATTGTCTTATATAAGATTAATATTTAGAATGAAAAGCTATTAACGCTTTCAACTTTATTTTAGAGTATTTCTAATGAGTCATGCTTTTTATCGGTGATATAGATTTATTTTTGGAAGGTTTCGTGCACGTACGGTCACTTCGGATCGAAAATTTATGACTTTTTTTTAAGAACTTGCGCCTACTTTCCTTTACATAGCTAGGAAAACGGAAACCGGTAAAGTCCGACGCTATTAAAGAGACAAGATCAATCGGGTGTTACAAGAAAAAATTAGCAGGAATAGGGAATTGACGTGTTGGATGTATGGAAGGAAAATACAGGGTTAACATAGTAAATTGTCCTTCGCTTCGCTCCGGACAATTAGTCTCCTAAGAAGGCGCAGTTAATTCTCTATGTAACTTTTTCGATCCTTTTACTCATGTCAATGTCCGATCAATAAACTTAGTCTTTCTTACACGCAGTATATTGATAGAATTGATTTAAATTATAATCTGTCAAAGAAAATTATCAACACCTCTCTCTCGCCTGAAATTATAAACAAATTTTTTTATGATATTTCATCGGGTTCTTACGAAATCGGGATGATTTTCGTCGTTTACATAAAGGTAATTAATGGCATTTTTTTTTCGTTATTTCCCTCCACATTACATTCTTTTGAAAGTTTCGTAGAATTGTTGTAAAAATTTCCCTCAAAAAAATTAAGTTCCGTTACGATTTCAAAGATTGAGTATATTATAAGCTAAATGATTTTCAGAAAACAATTATCCTTATTTGTAAGACAAGAAGCTGATATGATCCGAGTATACTAGAATATTTATAGCTGAGAACCGAGGGCTGAATAAAAGTGAGTATTCCTATTGGTATTTCTATGCAATAAAAGATAATAAAATAAAGCTCATCCGAACAAATAAAAATAAAAAAATAAGTAATGGTTTTCAAGAACAATTTAGAAAAAAGCCCTAAAAGGATTGGAAACGAGAATTAAGGAATTAGAGCAAAGTAACGAGGGGTTATGTTCACAATTCAAACATTTAGAAGAAAAGGTTAGAGAGAGAGAAGAAGAAACCAAAGTCAATATTAATAATTTAGAAGAAAAGATTAGAGGTAGAGAAGTAGTATCCAAAACCAAGCAAGAAATTATTAATGAATTAGAAAAGAGAATCGGAAATCTTGAATTGGTGTTTTATGATGATACTATTGTTAATTTAACAATTTTTGATTCTGATAACATATTGAACGCCTTAGGCGGTTTTGAAAGATGTCGAAAATTCGAAAATTGGCGAAACTCATTTGTAACTATAATTATTATCTAATAATTAGCTTACCAACATTACATAACTCCTTAATGGAACTTCATTGCTCTTACACTCTAATTACAAGCATACCAACATTACCAAACTCCTTAACAATACTCTCTTGCCTTAGAAATCGAATAACAAGCTTACCAACGTTACTTAACTCCTTAACGGAACTCAATTGCTCTGAAGAACTAATAACTAGCTTACCAACATTACCTAACTCCTTAATGGAACTTCATTACAAGCCTACCAACATTACCAAACTCCTTAAAGATACTCTCTTGTTTTAGAAATCGAATAACAAGCTTACCAACGTTACCTAATTCCTTAACGGAATTCAATTTCTATGAAGAACTAATAACAAACTTACCAACATTACCTAACTCCTTAACGAAACTCTGTTGCTTTAGTACTCGAATTACAAGCCTACCAACATTACCAAACTCCTTAACGATACTCTCTTGCTCTAAAAATCGAATTACAAGCCTACCAACGTTACCTAACTCCTTAACGGAACTCAATTGCTTTGAATATCAAATTACAAACTTACCAACATAACCTAACTCCTTAACGGAACTCCGTTGCTGTAAATCTCGGATAACTAGCTTACCAACATTACCTAACACCTTAACGGAACTTCGTTGCTATAAAATTCAGATAACTAGCTTACCATTACCTAACTCCTTAACCTATCTTGACTGTTCTAACACTCTAATAACAAGCTTACCAACTTTGTCTAACTCCTTAACAGCACTCCGGCTCAAATAACTAGATTACCAAATTACCTCACTCCTTAATTTATCTAAACTGCGAAAATACTCCAATAACATGGTTACCAAATTTACCCGTTTCTTTAAAGAAAATCTGCCCCAAATATTTAAAAGATGCATACTTATTTATTTTATCTAAAACTCATTTTTCTTTGTTGTCTTAAATGATTAATTTGACTTTATTAGTTTTAGCAAATATATATAAATAAAATATATATTTTATTTACAAGATAATATCATCAAGCTGCTTAAGTTAGTAAAAAAAATTTATATTCAGTTGTAGTCTGGTGGAAGGATTTGGAATTCCAATTTTATAACTTTCTTTAGACTTTACCCTAATTTCAACCCTTCCTCAAAATATTAACTTCTTGTTATAATAATTATTGAACAATTAAGCTTTTTTAGTCACATTAATATAATTAACATTATCGTGCGATGTATATGAACTTAGTTTTTTAATATTTTTTTTGTGATATCACGGAGTTTATACTAATAAATAAACAATAAATAATACTATTTTTTATACTTTTATTAATTTCTAGTAACTTGTTTCTATTTTTAATATAATAAAATAATAAAAGTGTAAATAGTAATTATAAATAATGTATTAACTGTAAAAGTTTCAAGAAATTCCATCGCCTAATTTTAGTTTAGATTTTAGATTTTGTCATCGAATTAAGATTTTTAGGAGCTAAAGATAAAAACTTTATACAGTCGACTCTGGTTATAACGAACCTGTATGTACCGAATTCTCGTTATACCGAACCAAGGTTCCCAGAGCCGATTTTTTTATAATCATTTACACTGGATATAACGAACTTTATTAATAAAACTCTGTATACCGAATACCGAACTCATCATAATAGCCTGTGTATATTAGCTATAACGAATGTCACATGATTAGTGATTGATTAAAAATCATACGATCTTTTGATAATCATTTTTTTTTATCTTATCTCCTTATCTATTTGTTTTAAAATGTCAACAAAGAAAAGAATCATTCTTATTGCAGCACAAAAACGTGAGATTTGTGAAACAAAAGAAAAAGAACCAAACCTTTCTAATGTAGCCCTTGCACAAAATATAATATTGGAAAATCAACAGTTACTGACATTTTAAATGAAAAGGAGCGCTGGCTTGCAATTTCAGGAGACCAAGGAAAAATTAAAAAATTTAGTGGTCCTAAATGGCCTCAACTTGAAAATGCACTTAGTCTCTGGATTGACAATGCATTTAATACAAAACAAGATATTGATGGTAATATCTTAAAAACAAAAGCAGATTTTTTTGCTAGGCGGTTTTCTATAGAAGATTTTCATCAATCAGAGGGATGGTTAACCGGCTTTAAAAAAAGACAAGGATTGCGTCAATTTCAAAGGCAAGGTGAAGCTTTAAGTGCTCCTTCTGCTGAATCAATAGAAAATGACCGCATTGCCTTACAACAATTTCTTAAACACTATGACCTTAAAGATATTTGGAATGGAGACGAAACTGGTCTCTTTTGGAAAATGGAACCTTCTAAAGTTTTGGCACATGGCCCTATATTTGGTCATAAAAAAGAAAAATCTCACATCACTATATTTTGTGCAACAAATGCAACAGGAACTGAAAAAATGGCTCTTACTTTTATTTACAAATACAAAACCCCTCGTCCTATGAAAAATCTTAATTACAAAAACCTTCCTGTTTATTACTTTTGGAATAAAAAATCTTGGATGCAAGTTAGTATTTTTAATGAAGTTATTCTTAAGCTTAATGAAAAAATGAGACGAAAAGGGCGTAAGATTGTTCTTTTGCTTGATAATGCACTAGTACATCTTATTTTAGATGAAACTCAAGAAAAATTAGATAGCATTGTGGTGAAATTTCTTCCACCAAATACTACTACTGTTCTTCAACCATGTGATGCAGGAATCATCCATTCATTTAAATGTCATTATAAACGTCTTTTTGTTCAAAATCGAATTAATGCATATAATAATGTGCAAGATGGTATTGTGGAAGAGCTTGCTGATTATAATATCTATGATGCTTTACAAAATTCAGCTGAAGCATGGTCTATGGTATCACCTCAAACAATCTCAAACTGCTGGAAAAAAACAGGAATTCTTCCACCAAATAATGAAGATGAAGATGTGTTTGAAGATGATTTTATTTTTGATGAGGACATGTAAGTATTTAACATTAATATCAAATACAATGTGAATGATTTTAATAATTATGTTTTCTTTTAGTTTTATTGAAGATGATGAAGAACTTGAAAGGTTAATTTCCCTTCTTCCAAAAGGTGATCTTAATGCACGAGAATATATTCATATTGAAGATAAAGCAGCGGAGGGTGGGCTTACTGATGATAAAATAATTGATGCTATATTAAATGTAGATAGGGAAGAGGAACATGTAATGGATGAAATTGAATTTGTGCCAATATTAGAAAAAGTTAGTCCAGTAGAAGCAGAAAATGCTGTAGATAAAATTATAAGATTTTATATGAGCAAGAGGCGGAATTTGGGGAGGTAAGCAATGAATTAAAAAATTTAAAAGGGTTACATAGACGAATTAAGGTTTTATTAGAAATAATCTTAAGCAAGGCAATATTCAAGATTATTTTAATGATAATATCTAATGTAATAATGTAATAGCAATTTACTAAATAATGTAAATAATAAAAAATCATAAAACTTGATAATCATGTGCTTGTAATTTTATTGGCTAATTTTTTATACCGAACTGTTCGGTATATAACATAAATATTATATATCGAACTCATTCTATACTGAACTGAATTTTCTGGACGGAGGGTTCGTTATAACCAGAGTCGACTGTAATTTTTACCCCAAGCTTGTCTGCGTTTTTCTAAAGGTTAATTAATATAATTAATAAATATCCCAAAAAAACTTTTTCTAGTGAGTAGTTAGATAATTTATTCTTTTTCACTTTTCGCGATATCAATTCAATTATTGCGGTATAGAACACCTACAAATTAATATACTGTGATTTTTGAAATTAGTTTTTAATCCTTTCGGTTAATTTGAATATCATTTAGTATCTGTAGTGGTTGACAAAAGGGATCTTTTTTTTTATTGTTGCAGTATTATTGGTTGTGCTTTCATCTATTTTTTTCAAAAAATAATCGTAGATGCATTATAGATTTTTAGCATAAAATAGTTGCTTTTATTGAATAAAGCAAATTCGTCTTCTATAAATATATTATCAAGTTCGTTAAGATTTTCTTTCCAATAGGTTTTCAAAAGTATAATTCGCCTAAAAATAAAGATTTACCTTTTTTCGTGATTCTTAAAAGTGGTACTTCCATTTTTTTTTTAAAAGAAAGGATTTAATATAAATGAATAGAAAGAGAATGATAATGAACTTCATGTGAGTAATGTCATATTACCTTTATTGACAAATTGAACGCAGTACATTTATTAATACTATTAATAAATTTTTATTCTTTGAGAATATCTTGTTAGTCGCAAATTGTACTGCGCCTCGAACGATTTCAACTGCGCCGAAAGTGATGCAATGATTTTACCAGGAGAATAATCAATGTTTAAGGTATCGACGACGAAATCTTCAAAAGTTGCTTCAACGTACTATACAAAAAAAAGGATTTAATTTACTCAAGTATTATGATATAGTGACATGGCACATACCTTTAATTTATTAAATTTCGAAGTCTTGATGGTAATATCCTTTGTGTTTTCGTAATTATTAATATCTAAAGTATATTCAGATCGATCTCATTATAATCTGCTACTTTCCTTCCACTTCTAGTTAGACGATTGAAAACAAAATCGTTTTGAATGTTTGATTTTTTTTTAACCTCATACTTTTTGCGCGTTGAGCTCGTGTAGAGGTCATTTTATAATTATTTCTTTCTATTTCTTTTTATTTATATATTTTTTTTAGTGCAACTTCGATTTTTCGGTTCACGTCACCCGGCCGGGTCATTTTTTCAAATCCCAACAAAAAAAAGGTTATATATAAAAAGTTTATCATGTGACTATAAAGTGTAAATATATTTATTAGTAGATTAAAGCTTTATTGTATTATCGTTATGTATAATTTCTTTCTTACAACTCATTAGTTTCATGCAATTTCCCAAGCGAATACATTGTGCTGAAATGTTTTCTTCAACTAATGTTTTTGATTGGCTAAACTTCACTTAATAATATGCTTCCCACCAGTCAGGTGATAAATATTGAATCGATATATTTCTAAAAAATCTTTTTATTTTTCAACAGGTAAACCTTCCAAATCCTTCAAAACTTTAGAATTATAACTTATTTTTACATGTATAATAGGTATTATGACGGAATTAAGATTTTGAAATGAGATGTAATTGTCATATGATTAGGCCGGGTAAAAGAAAATTTTTAAATTTTAGATAAAATTTTAAATTTGATACGATCACCCCGGGTCACAGAATTTGAAAATTTATTTTGCACGGCCTTGTCCCCTTAAAAATTGACCAATCAGATGAATATAAAAACTTTTTTTTATTAATAAAAAATAATCATTAATAAACCCCGGGTCTCCGGGTCGATTTTTAAATTTCAATGTTAAGTGAACCGAAAGATCGAAGTTGCATGGCCTTAAAAAACGAGATATTCTAATAAAAAAATAATACAAAAAGAATTCTTCATTATATCAAAACCGTGATTAAAAATAAAAATTTCACCAAAAAAAATTTGTCACGTGCTCAACTAACTTATTAATGGCCTTTCCTTTTATTTTAAAGTTGTCAAGACGTTATACAGTTTCATTTCGTCTTCTGTCATCATTATTTTTGTTTATATCAGATTCGATAAGAGAGTCAATGAGCTAAGCGATGACGGCCATCGATAAATTTCCCCCGCATACTATTATAATGATGAAAAGCCTTTAAGGATATCGATAAATGGACCCAATTCCGAATACTTTGGGATTTTTATATTTATAAGTTACTTTTTTGATTTTTATAATTTAGAATATTAAAGGTCATATATACGAGAAGGAATTCAAATTCGAATTTATATTGTCAAAATCCTTCGCTATTTAAAATTTGCCACGTTCTTCATATAGAATTCGACCATTATAATAAAGGAGGTAGTTTAAATCCTTAAAAATATGTTATTATAATTTGGAATTTATTTTTCTTTAGAAAACTGTAATAGTCTGGGATATAAAAAAAAATGAAAGTACATTCTTTCTTTTGCATAGTTGACAATGCAAAACTCCTATAAATCTAGTTATTTAAAACAATATCACAATATAACTCACACAATTAACTTTTTTCGGAACAAATATTTTATTATACTAATTCTTTAATTAAGAAAAATTTAGATTTTCTATTATAACAAAGCTTATAAATCACAACTTTTTCAGAAAATATATTTGTATATTTTTTTTAACATAAAAAAAAATATTGAGATCATACTAAATATTAAATATATTATACGTATTTATTGTAATAAATAAATATAAATAAACTTAGGCCAGTCTATAAATTTGGTATGAGCCATCTATTTTAACCGGTTAAAAAAAATTTTAACGGGTTCCAACCTCTTTTCGACTCTGTTGTAATAACTTGGGACCTTTGCAATAGGGAAACGTCTGGAAAAAAATAAAAAATAAGCTAATGCTAAATCTGAACATTTTTTGACTAAACATCATATAAATCATATTTGGTATATAAAATTAAAATTGATTTTTTCCAGCTGTTTCTCCCCTTTTTATTTCAAAGGTCCCACTTGAAAATTTCTGATCTTTGATACTGGCATTTTACGTATATTTTGCGAAACATCGTTAGTTTTATTTAACGCAGATTTTGCATAACTTAACTATTAAACATTGTTAAGCTAAATTCGCTATAAAATAAGAATCTATAGACAAAACTTTACAGACCTTGATAAGCGTGATTTCATTCGATAACCATTAAGATACTATAACTGAGGGTGTCTTCTCGAACTTATATATAGAGAAAAATATTAGCGTTACGTAATTAAATAAATTAAAACTTCTTACATTATTCGCAACAAAGAATAGAGATGTGTGCCATGAAAGAAGACGTGGTCTAATATCAGAAAGACGCAGCTCCTAGTTGCAACTTGGCAATATAGGAGCAGTATATTCCTGAGGGAAGACGCTTTTCACTCACCGGCCAAGAATGAGTGAGTCAACCAGTTAATCAGGTTTTCACAGCCTGTATTAATAGTGAAAACACAATTACAATTACTGTATCTCCAAATTATATTTACCGGAGTTCTGCCCTCTCTATTGCCAAGCGCCCATTAAGTTGCGGCAATTTATCAAATAAATCATTTTGAAAAATAATTCCTTGGTTGTTTTCAGATTTTAAATACAATCGCATTGTAAGTTTTAAAACAAACCTCCTAAAATTGTGGGCAATTAATAACCAGATTCTACCTGGTTTTCTTTATTCAAAAATTTTCTGCGCGCAAAACAATAAAAATTAAAGTATACCAGCTGATCGACATGATCAACAATTCCTGCCAGAACCGAGAGCGTCAGTTAAAAAGCGGGAATCCGTAATTTCTTTTTAATCTAATTTTGGTTCTCGAGTCAATTTTGTGCAAAATAAAACGAATGAAAAAAATAGTCCAATATCAAAAATGATAACTCATATATTATATTTATTTTAAATCTATTCTATTTTAATAGAACATATATTGAATGATATTATAAAGTAACTTAATAAACTAAATCCAACAGTCCCGATGTTCATTCATTCCAGTTACGTTGTTAATATATATATTCGCAATCCACTCTATTTATATAATTTTAACAAACTGTTTCTTTGCAATAAAATCATAAATAAAACCGATTACATTTATTAATAATATTACTGATCCTGTAACCAAAGCTGATAAAGCATATATATTATATTCTATATTAAGAGATGTGGCATATATTATCTATAAAATTAAATAAATATAATAAGTAAAAATTAAAGTTATGGAGAAAAATCCCACCTCTAAAATCTCACCTGAATTATTAGTTGTGGTAAGTCTTCAATAAAAATATTAGAAAAACTACCCCAAAATATCCAACGTAATGCTTTTGAAGAAAATGGAGCAGAAAATAATTTATAACCTGCAAAGTTGGAATCAAGTAGATGAAGTAATTCAACATTTCCCGAACTAAATAGTGTAATTATCGCGGCTAATTTCGAATTCTCTCTAAACCAATCGGCAAATTTTGGATTCTTTCTTGTCTCAAATATGAATATGTAAAAAGCTAAGCATATATTTATAATAATTGGAAAAATAATAAACACTATGCTACAAAAAATTAGTTAGATTAATAATATTTCATTATATTTATAATTTGAATAATTAATATTATTAATTACCTTGGAATTAATAACTTTTGCAAATCTTCTTTATTTTTTACAATAAATTTTATATCAACTTCAATATCGAAAATAATAAGAGCAGCTTTAAACACGATTATATTGAATCCCTGTGAAAAAAGTTTAATGTAAGGAATTGTTATTTTACAAATTCGTAAAAATCTATATCAAAACGTACCATTGGATTTTTATATCGACCAAACAAATACAAGCCAGTCACCAGGAAAACGAGTGATACGAAAAATCCGATAATTAATGGTTCATTGTAGTTTTGCACAATTCCTTTAATCTCCTCCCATCGATTAGCTAAAAACAAGCGATCGTGAATGTATATATAATCATTAACGTTAAGTTAAAAAGAAAGGGATTTATATAAAATTTATACTTACTTATTTGATGAAATCCAAATTTTTTATCGATAAACTGTGTATTCTTATAAATATCCAACGCTGTAATATAGCCATTAACATCAAATAATTTATTAAAATCCTCAAAGACTTCTTTTGAACTTTTTTTGTTAAAATTATTTTCATTTGGGGGATTTATTTTAAATGCAATACAATCCGCATTTTCTTTATAATTAACAAAATGATTTAAATAAGTTATTCTTTGTCTGTCAACTGGAATACATTTTGCAATTTCTATACACATTTGTTCGATGAATTTTTTTTTTTCGACATCATTCAACTTCTTAAAATGGTCTGTACCCATAACGTTTAAACGTATGTACCCAATTTTGAATTCTAAAGTTGAGATAAAAATATAAATAATTTTCAATCTATTATTTCACGAGACCAACAAGAATTTCATGATTCGTCTTATTTTACTGTATTTACCGGGTATTTTATCAGTTAACTTCGATTTAGGTTTTGGTTCTGCAAAAAAGATTTGCTTCGTTATATTTGATAAAGGTTACTTAAATTGAAGAAAATTTTAAAGTACAAACTCGATAATATGTGTATAGGCCAATCTCCTATTTTGATGCCAGGTAGAGGTTGATTAATATTTCTAAATTCGGCAAATTCATCTTGTATTTCAACATAATAGACCATTTCAGGGATACTAAAAGTAGTCTCTTTAATAGTCATATTTAAAGAATATTTGTCTTTGCTAAGAACACATTCTGGGCTTATGCATTTAAATCTTTGACGTAACATATACTCCCCATCATTATAAAGATAAATCGAGGCATTTTTGTCCTTTAACTCGATTGGATGGACAAAAGTGATGTTTATCATATTTGTATCAATGGAAATTCTTTCATCCCATAAGGGCCAAGTTTTTTTTATATGAAGATTATTGAGCCTATTTGCTAAAAATAAAAAGTGTAAATAGATTATTAAAAAAATCTTTCTTTTTTCCAAATTATCAAAAAAAAATATTCACTTTCAGGAATAAACTGGGATATGTTTATAGATTTTAATTCCCAAGTAAACTCATCGATATCGGCTGCTATTATTAATTCTTTATCATGAAGGACCAATGAAGCACTTCCAAACTTAGAAAAAAAGTTCAAGGACCCTCCATAAAATTCTGTTGTTATAATATCATTGGTTTTAGCATTAAATAATACATAGTTCATTGATTTTGTTGCTCGTAAGTAAAAATTTATCAAAAAATCAACTTCTGGGGCCGGAAATGCCATAAGGGAAGAATCATAATCAATAGAAAGTGATAAAATATTCATTTTGACTTCAAAATCATCAATTGAGGGTAAATAATCGATTTCCGCCAATATAAATCGCTGATCAATCGATAGTATCAAGCAAGAATATTTATAATTGATTTCCGTATCAGCTTTACATTGTATTTGCATTATTGTTGATGTCTCATTAGTTAAATTAAGTTGGCTTATTTTATTTGATTTTGAGTCGGGTTGTAATAATGTAAGATAAATTGAATATAGCCCATTAAAAAATTTACTATCCCAGACGCTAGATATAATTCCATAACCTTCTTTTGTCGGAAACAAGCTTTCCGGATTTACTGTTAAATTTGGTTCAAAAGTACAATTCCCTTCTTGATATGTAACAAATTGGCCATCACTTTTCAATGGAAAAATCCGTTAGAATACGTATCTTTTAATTGTAGAATATAAATTAAAACACTCACTATTCATTGTAATTGTATTCTTTATAAAACAAATAACTTCCTTTGGAGACTAAAAATAACGACCTATTTTCATCGTAAAAATTATTTTGAATGATTAGTGGAGTTCCAATTTCCAAGTTCTCTAATGTAATCGTTGTATCACTCCATATAATATTGTCAGACCAGTCTGCTATCACTACACTGTATTGTTGGAGCTCGTTTATGTATATCATTAGAACATGATTTGCTTTAAATGGTATTATCGTTTTAATAAAACAATTTTTATTTATATTTGGGCACCGTTGAGTAAAAACGGTCAAATCATTTATAGTTTTGTTTGGATGAAGTAATCTAACGCTGTTTACAACAATGGTGGAAGTTACATTATTGAAATCAACAGCCAATTCAGCTTTATCTACCAATAGAATAGTCCCATCAGGAAATCGATCGAAGTCTAATTGATTGAATTTAGCTTCATATATGTCGATAATTTCAAATTCTATCGAATAGCATGATAATGATAATAGAATGATGATAACGGGCACAATCGTTATAAAGAAGATATGGCAATTTTTTGAATTCTTTAGCATATTCATGGATAATTTTTTTTTTTTTTTTTGAAAATCCAATCGCATTTTAAATTCCGAAAATTTCCCAATTTGACTTTGCCGATCGGCAGTTTTTTTTTTTTTTCTCCAAACAAATGTTATGATTTGCACATAAATACTCATAAATATTTAACTTCTTGTTTAGGCAAAAAAGGCAGTAATAAGATTTAATATTTTATATATTACTAAATATATAAAATATATAAATAAAAAAATAAATATTAAAATCAAGTTAATTATTTATATTTTACATTATTATTATATTTTTTATTTTTATTAATTTTAAGTTAAATAAATATAATAATTATTTGAAAATATATTAAAATAAGAATCTTTTTATTAAATATTAATGATCATATATTTTTTTTTATATTTAAATAAAATATTATTTACATTCTATGAAAAGTAAGTTTCTTTGCTTAGTCATCGGATCGGATAAGCCGAGCCACTTTATTTCGGCTTGGCATCGGTCAATCAAACAGCCATTTTAATCCGGATTTCAAACCGTCGCATCTAGCTTACATAACTTGTTAAAAACGCCTGCGAAACTTGTTTCTGTCGAGGAAACGTTTCCGGAGGCGTTATTTTCAAAGAAATTCATTTACGAATCGTTTTCTTTGATCTCTGTTGTTTTTCCTTTGAAGAAAACGCATCCGAAGGCGTTTCCTTTGAAGGAATCACTTCCGGAGGCTTTTCCTTTGAAGGAAATTGTTTCGAGGCATTTTTCCATAGAAAATCAATTCCGAAGGCGTTCCCTTGAAGTGATCGCCTCCGAGGCGTTATTTCCAAAGAAAATCATTTCCGGAGGCGTTTTCCTTGAAGGGAATTTCCTCTGGGAGTATTTCCAAAGAAATCATTTCCGGAGGCGCTTTCTTGGATCCAATAAAAGTACAAATTAAGATAAGAAATAAAACGGTAAAACTATGTTAATAAAGAATTTATGATATAGTTGAAGTTTAAATATTACAGTAGCGGTCATAAGTATCCGACCGCCCGAGATCGTCCAAAATTATTATATAACTACCCCTTAAATTTTCCAG